AAATAGCCCAGAATTTGGAATATACGGTAGGATGACTCAGAGGGCCGTAACCCAGAAATTGGATGCAGTCATTTTGGAAAGAGAAACTGGTAAAACTCATGTCTAAATTTCACATTTTCACAGGAGATAAATATTTTTGAGTTATCACAACACCAATTTTGAAAAGTTACCTTCAACCAAGCCACTTACATCATTTCCTTTTTCATCTGCTGTTCAGTTATACGCCCACTATTGTCATCGAAGTCACGCCACTTTTTTTATGGTCCTCGTGGTAGTCTCATGGATAATTAATACTACTCTTAAATTATAGCCATGGCCAAACAGGCAGTGGAAGAGTCCTTCATGACGTTTCGTCAAAGAGTTATCTTTCCTCAAGGGTTAAGTGGAAGTCTACTTTTACTTACTTGTAAAGACATCATTCTCAAGCTGTAAAATGCAATAGTTTTCATTGGTTGTCTATAGGAGTGTCTGAACGAGGTGATTCTTATCGGGGCATAGTCCTAATCCGTCCGAGCACCACATGCACATCACCTCACCCCAGCTCCTCTTTCTGGGCGTTACCCTCCAATGACCATGACGTCATTGCTGATTAAATGAACTCGCGAAATTCGCGCTATACCAATCGCTTGGCGCCTACATTATGCAACTAGTCTGATGTGCTGTCTGTTGGAGGACTACGTCAGTTGGTCATAACTGACCAAATGAGCCCCCCTCCCCCTATCACACGTGACCCCTTCTATGGAACGTCATTGTCAATATAACTAATAAGCGTTTACTGTATTGTTATGCTGACTGTGTCTTCATTTATTACTGAATCTGATTAACATCATGCTTCCTCTCACCGTAATCACCACTAACTAGTCAGTAATCTTCTCCCATTGCCATTTAGGCTTCTACAGCTCTACTTCTTTTCAACGTCGTTTTCCTCCTCTTGAATATTACAAATTCCTCAACATTATCAATACGAAGATCATTAATTCTATTGAAGAGCCTAATGTCACATTTGAAAAAGTTCATTTGACAATTTTGAACTACCTGAACTCTGTGTACCAGTTTTTCTCCGTCTGCCTTTTTACGAGGAGCTCTGTAAGTAGCTCAGTGCAATTTCATAATCTTCTGCTTCTTTACAGAGTTGCTTTACAAAGAAAACTTGTGAACAAAGAATGCTGAAAATGCATCAAGTGCGTCATTTGTGGGACTACTGTACAAGCAGTACTTCATTCTTGTTGAACTACAGTAGCTACTAGTTTTTCTAGGCGTTGTCTTCCGCAGTTCTCCCTTCAGCTGGAGGAGGCTGAATTGTTACCCCGATGAAATCTCTTACATTCGGTATGCATATATGCCCACATCACCTTCAAGGGTAATTACGCGCCAGATTAAGCCGCGCATGATTTCTGGGCCAGAGACTCAATGGGTCATTTTAGTTTTTGAGCAGTTTTCCTTTCTCCTTCTTTCGTTCCTCATTCTCTTTCTTTCTTCCTTGTTCTGCTCATACCTATGCAATCTGCATTTGAAAAGCTTCCGTCCTAACGATTGGGCTTGAACACATTGAAGTACACTCTGTCTTGGATCCAGGAGAAAGATTGGTCGTGATTGCGTACTTTGTGAAGCGCGTGGCAATAGCTCTGGAAAAATTGGTAGTTTTGCCAACGAAATGATTCACTGAACGCATTTGGAACCTAATGACATGCAACTAATGAAACTGAAGCCTGACGAAAA